TCCCTTTCCGTGTGACTTCTCTTCGCTCTGTTTCAATTACCTCATCTACTCTCACCGAACTCAATAATATTTGGCTGTAGAAGATGTTTTTTAAAAGAAAAATCATACGTTGGTTATTTATTTTTCATTGCCCCTCCCCTTTAATATTTTACATGCTTGAGACTTATCAATGGGTTCAGTCATCGAAACTTGGCAGAAAGGCTTTTCCCGTCTCCATGCTTGGTTATAATTTTTTTTAAAAAATCATTTATATATTGGAGAGAGGTATTAAATATGTTTTTCTCATGCAGTTGTGTCAAGCTGGGTTATGGTCTCACGACTCCTCATGTGAAGGCTTTGTTACAGTGTGATAGAAAACCAATTGTGCTTTTCTATATTGGGTTCTATTCCATAATTGTATCTGTGCCTTCCCAGCCCAGTGAAAACTGTTCTTTGAGTTATCTTGTGTGTTGCACTTTTTATAACCAAGTGAAGGTTTATATAAGACTTTTTCACATCTCCCAAGTGTTTTCCACACCATAAACTGCTTTGGAATGCTGTGATGTTGGCATAAACATTTAAAATACAACATTTATTTTTACGAAAAGCAAACGATTTTGTCTTTGCTGTAAACCTGTCAGGGGAGTGGCAGTTGTGCACCCTCCACACGTCTCACCACCCTTTGCCATTTTGTTGGCAACAGTAGAGCATTTTAAAATTTTAATCTCACCTCCTGCCCTGTCTCAGTTAGCAATAGTTGTCTGGTATTTTAATGAAGGCTTTAACCCATTTCAAATTAATGGATTGTTGCCTGAGTTAAAGTTGAGGAGGAGATGTGAGTTCCAGTCACACTGTTCAGATGCTAATATCGGCAACAGTAATTTCAAGGTTCAGATGCTTAATAGGACTATGTCTCAGTTAATCTGTTAGCTCTAAAGAGCAATGGAACACCTTGCCAAAGAGGCTGAAGGTATTTGTCTGAGAGTCTTTATGTAACAGGACTGTGTTAATACCATGATGGTAGCACTGACAGCTGCAGACAAATATCCTGTATCATAGAACACAATAGTTAGTGATAAAAGAAATGTATCAAAATATTTACACCTAACTTTCCCCTTAACTTGGTACCTCCCTTCCCCACTTTCACTTGGCACTGACATGCACTGCAATGTTGGCTGCCCCCTGCCATATCCTGAAGAGGCCATTTTTTAGGCTTTGAACTTTTAAATGTTGATTATTTAGTAGGCCATTTGACTATTAAGTGCGCTGCGGGTCTGCCTAATCCTGCTTATATATGATACACACAGCACTCTCTTTCTCTGCTACAGAATGATCAGAGCTGTGTTCTGGTTGAGGAGTGTGGAGGAGCTGAGGAGCATTTTATTTTTTGTTCATTTACAGTTTCTATCTGATAAGTAGTGAGGCATAATTGGCATCTTTGGCACAATAATTTTAAAGTTTGCAAAATGTATTTGCATGAAAATTATGGATGGCCTCTTCACTAAATTTATGCCTATATCTTTGTTGCATAAAAAAAATCTATATTTACCATATAATATAAGAAAAAAATGGGACAAGAAGACTCCAAAGACAATTACACTCTGTCTGGAAATAAATTGTCTCAAACTGTAAATCCCCCGCCCTCCCTTTAAGGGTTTAACTTACTTGAGTGAAGTGTGTGCAGCAGTTGCCCTGAGGACAGAGTTGCACTCTGTAATTTGCATGGCTGATGAGTAGCATACGCCTATGGATAAAGAATGTGAGCAGGAAGCAGCAATCAGCTGTCTGCCTCATTCACTGGAGACAGGCTTTTGCAGACAAAAGGAGCAGAGCCTATTCTCTTTTTCCCCTGTTTTATTGTTCAGGCCCCAGGTCTTGCAATGAATGAGAGGGCTCTTGCAGCCAGGCATGCAGAACGACCTTTGTGTGGTCCATCTCTTTTTATTGACGATGCATTACAAAGTGCAAGCAACCCACCAACCCCTCCCATTTTTATACATTACCTGATAATGTTAGCAGGTCCCATGAAGTGGGTCAGAGTCAACAGAAGCAAAATATCTTGCTGTTTTAAGTACTGAAGCAAGCTGTTATCCAGACCTTTGGCACTGCAAAACGATTTGTGAGTGCTCTGTCCTCTGCTACCGCCAATTTCCATTCTGAGACACTGTGCTTTTCCCAGTTTTACTCAATTGTCTAGCTGAGGTGGGAACAGAATACTCCATTTGCAGTAATGATATGGAACACGGGAGGCCAGATGCCCAACGCTGCAGTGTGATGCAGTATGCCCACCTGGTGTTGGCTGACCTGTACCAACCCTATCTTCCAATCATTAAACTGTACCCCACAAACTCTTGCTTGATAACACGCTCAAATAGATCCTCATTTGTTTGACTCGCTCACCAGAATGTATTGACATCTATTTTCTCTCTTCCCTTAAAGTTGCTGATTTACATTCAGCTATGATCTATAAAGCATAGGAGCAGAAGTAGGCCATTCAGCCCATCAAATCTTTTCTGCCATTGACTGAGATCAAGACTGATCTGATAATCCATAACTCAACGTTCTTGCCTTTTTCCCTAGCACTTGATTCCTTTCCCGATTTAAAAATCTGTCTGTCTCCACTTGAAGGTACTTAATGGCCCAGCCTGGACAGCCCTCTGTGGTAAAGATTTCCACAGATTCACTACGCCCAGGGTAGAAATTCTTCCTCATCTGTATCTTAAATTTGCGATCCCCTTATTCTGCGATGATGACACTTACTCCTCGACACTCCCACTCGGGAAACAACCTTTCTGCGTCCACCCTGTCAAGTCCCCTAAGAATCTTGTATGTTTCAATAAGGTGTGCTCTGATTCTAAACTCCCAACATTACGGAAAGTTTGCTTGGGCCATTGTGAGTCTGGGCAATGTTAGGACGCTGTATATACCGACACTAAACCAGTCCCAAGTCTGCCGGGATAGCAGGAACTGCAGATGCTGGAGAATCTGAGATAACAAGGCGTAGAGCTGAATGAACACAGCAGGCCAAGCAGCATCAGAGGAGCAGGAAGGCTGACGTTTCGGGCCTGACGTTTTTGGATTTCTGAAGAAAGATCTAGGCCCGAAACGTCAGCCTTCCTGCTCCTCTGATGCTGCTTGGCCTGCTGTGTTCATTCAGCTCTACGCCTTGTTATCTCCAAGTCTGCCGGGGCTGGGGGTGAGGGCTGGGGTTCACGACGATCCCTCTGCCTTGGGGTGGATTACGGACAACATTGACACGTGGTGGTGGGGGGGGAATACTGTTGCCTTTTTTAAAATCCTCATCCGCATGAGAGAAGAGGGATAGGAGGTGAATCAAAGTGGGGTCCCGTGGCTGGGACATACTGGGCCAGGATGTAACTTGGCTCATCGCTTTGTGTCTCAGAGCTTCGGTCTGAGTGAGAATTACACGGAACTCTGCAGTTCTAAAGTGTATGCTGAGGAATTTAAACCTTAACCTCCTACCGCAGCGGGGGGGATGGAGAGCGGGAGTTATTTTTACAACCCAGCGCACAGGGTGGTTTGGACTGCCACTTTAAGAACCGGAGCTCAGTTCATCTGGGACGAGCAAATAATGGAATCTCTGAACTGGCCGCACTGACATCTCCCTGAAAATTACTGGGCGGTTTGCAGGGCTGTGAAGATGAAAGGAAACCCGTCCTGGCCTACCTGGGATTTTCTTTGGCGCGACGGGTGGTTACAGTCAGGTCTCAGGAGTGGAATAAAGTTCCCGGTGTTTGTTAAGATTATTTTTGTCCTTGTTTTTCTTTTCTCTCTTGTTTTTCTTTTCTCTCTTGTTTCATTTCGGAGATGAATGTATTCCTGTTTTGTGTGCTGAGGGGCTACGTGGAGGACTTGGTGAGGGGTGGGGGGTGCGGTTTGGTGAAAAGTGCCCCACTGAACATGCTGTTATTTGATTTCAGTGCACGTTTTATGGAGTGTTATTTGAAGGAGAGTTTTGAAGTAATTTGACACAGATTCTTTCTTTTTTTTTCCCCTTCCCTGCTCCTTGATCACTGCCAGCATTTTAGTTGGATATAGCTGAGCCGGAGGGTTACGAGGAGCACAGTAAGGGTTGGGTGGGGTAAACAGTAGGGAGTGGCAGAGATTTGGTGGGGTGGGGGTGCTGTGTGATGGGTAAAAGGATACAGTTTACGGGAGCAGGCCAACACTTCCTCATTCTAGCATCACGACATCTGAGCAAGCCAACACAGTTGCCCGCTGAGTAGCTCCTGTAGCCAGGACGAAGCCAAATAAATGCACAACGTGTCAAACACAGAGATCCATTTAGAGACAGTGCTGCGGGCTGCTGGATTTACCAAAGATACAGTAGAAAAAAACTTGAGTCACAACTGTAAATAAACCAGACATTCATAAAACATTTATATTCATGTGTCTGCCCTGTTTTGACGTTAATAATTCAGACTAGGTTTTGGTTAGTTAAAGGCGTGTTACTGCATTGGCCGTTGTGAGCTCTCTGTCGCATGCCCAGTCTCCCAAAACAGTCAACTTAAACTAGAATGTGATGTTAATTTAAACAAAAAGAAAATTCCAGGCAGCTTTTGTACATCAAAACTCGGACTGGGCATCCAACCTCACATTGGTTTAAATATCACAACTTTTTTTTAACAGTCCCACGGTCACTCTCTGATGTTTAGAGAGGTCTTTGGACGGCACATCTCCCTAGTTGACCTGCTTTGCTGCGCTTGTACGGAGGAGTTAAAGCAAGTTAACCTGCCAGTAGCCAAGTTAGTGTGTTGGTGGGTCTGCTTCAAGGTGAACCTGTGGAAATTGTGAGCTGGAATTTCAGGCCCTGGTGAGGGCGGGAAAGGAATTGGACAGGCCTCAAATTGTTGATTTCCTTTTACTATTCACAATGTCAATCATTTTCATGAAAGCATGCGTGGGGCCTGCAGGGTTAGCAACACCCTGTCTGGTGTAAGGCTGATTGGGCTTCTTAAAAATCTTGTTAAGGCCAATTAATAGGAGCTGACTGAAAGTACTGTGCATGTCCATCAATGCTGTCGAAGCCTTTAGAGAGAGGTAGGTACTGTGGGGGATACAGTGCTTTATTTCTGCCTCCAAATCCATCTTGATTTAGTCCCTCCCACTCTCCCTACCCATCCCTCCGCCCCTTCAACTTTGGTTTACTTTGCCCTTAACAGGCTTTGCATGTAAATATTTAATTGGCTGCACGGGTGATTTGATTGATAGTGATTAGTTTTTAAAAAGATGCAAAAAAGTCAGCATAATGGTGGTGATTTCGGTGGTGCGAAGATCGCTCAGTTGTGTGTAATAGGACCTCTGGGTAGAGAAGAGAAAAGAAACTACTCTGCATCGACAGGGTATGGTTTAGGTGCCTGGAATTGGCAGGCAGACTTGAAGTTTGTGGAGGGTTTGGAAGCAGCATTGCAGTAGGCCCATGGGTCCTCCCCTTCTACCTGTGTGCTAGAGTAGCCTAAGGCCAATCAGTGAAGTGATTCGCCCTTCATAGTGGTGGCCTGGCTGCAAGAACCAACTTTTAATACATGTTTTAGCACAGTCAATGACATCTTGTTGTGGTGTGCTCATAGTCTCTTACCAACTACTGCAGCTTCAAGGCCTCTAACTGGACCTCCAATTTCAAGATCCTGCCTGCTGCCCTTAAATGGACAGGGAACCTGGCATCGTGCCAATTTAAAGGGATACTCAATGAAAATCCTGTTGAGTGCCTGTTTCCTCCCAGGGGGCATGTTGAGGACTTGGAAATGGTCCCAGCTCCTGCCTTCCTTCCCCAGAGAGAAATTCCTGCCCCATGGTTGCCATAGACAACCTTAGCATTTTGTTCACACCCTGGGTTTGTAGCTGTCTAAAGTTAACATATGAGAAGCTAGCTGTGCAAGAGTTTGACTCTTGGAGCCACGTGAGAGAGGGTCCATGGCCAGCTCTGTTCTTGTGAAAAATTGGAAATTCCAAGTGGGAGAGATATGTGTAACTTTGAATCCTCAGCAGCCTTTAGCCTGCTCAGCTCTATCTCTGTTTGTCCCTAATTGCCCTTGCATCATTGGTGGCCCATCCACCTTACTCATTCCCAACTGGCCTTTCTCTTTCTGTCTGAGTCGGAGTGAGCCATGCCAGACGCCTGCACTGGGTGGTGTCAGGCAAATGAGGGGATCCTGCTTTTGTGGGCCCCTGGGGCCCCATCAATAGCACCTTCCCCTAAAGTTATTCCCAACCACCCTCAGCTACTTAATCCTAGCTACCTCCCAATCCGGTAACCCTAAACCTGCCTGGCAAGAGTGGGACTTGCCTGTAGTCCCGGCCACAGCCACCAGGCGTGACAGGCATTGTTGTGGGGTTCTGGGACTATCGGCTATTCAAATTCCCTAAGGCAGGACTTCCTCTTGGTAAAAGTGGCAGAAGTGCTCGACTTAATACGAATAATGCCATTTGCATGGTTAAATTGCTGGTGGTGGGGGGCGGTGGTGTGCAGCTATTAGAATGGTAGGGTACTCCCCTCTTAATTCTTTTTAAGCTGATTAGGGGTGTGGGATCCTATTGGCAATAGGGATCCATGTGTGGCTGTACATTGCTGAAATGTGTCTTTGTTGCTGTCTGGTTTTAGGGGGGGGTGTGTGTGTGTGTGGTTCTATGTTGCTGTCATTTCCATGTTTGTGTTTTTTTCCCTTTTGCTAGACGAGTACACTCTGGTAGAGATTAGTACATTCATACATCAGTGATGACAGTAACCTAACCACATTTATTAAAAGAAAACATTGTTGGATTGACAAGGCCACTGGTAAATAGGAAGACATTCTCACAGCGCGATATAGGGCAAATGTTTGCTTCTAAGCCGTGTGTGTGTGTGTGTTTGAGAGAGAGAGAGAGAGAGAGAACGAGACATATAAAACTACCAGCTAAGTTGAAAGATCCTGACATATATAAAATATTTTACTTTTGGTATTTTCTTCCTGCCTCTGTCTTTACATCTGAACTGTTCATAACATCCTAAAAGACAGTGGTTTTGCAAACATTTTGAGCATCTGCTGAATTGTGGAGGAACAGTCACTAGGCCATTGTCTTTGGCAGTGGGAAGAAATTGAAGCTGAAGGGAAGATATGCATTATATAGTGCCTTTCATAATGTCATGATGTTCTAAAACCCCTTTACAGCCAATGAAGTATTTTGGAATGTAGTCACTATGGTAATTTAGTAAATATAGCCTGATGGTACATTGATATCAATGCACTGAACTTCAGGTTATAATGTAACCAGCAAATCCTTCTGTCATTTCGTATTCTTGCTAAACTAAAGTTCTTTTTTCCTTTTCCTCCTACAGATTCCCGAATAAGTCAGGAGCTGGGAAGCCGGTCGCACTGGTGTGTTGTTGCATACTGGGAGGAGCGGACTCGAGTGGGGCGCCTGTACACTGTCCAAGAAGCCTCCCTCGATATCTTCTACGATCTACCTCACGGGAACGGATTCTGCCTGGGACAGTTAAACTCAGACAACAAGAGCCAGCTGGTGACCAAAGTCCGGAGCAAAATTGGCTATGGCATCCAGCTGAGTAAGGAGCCGGACGGAGTGTGGGTCTACAACCGCAGCAACTACCCAATCTTCATCAAGTCAGTCACACTGGACAACCCAGACTCCAGGACGTTACTCGTTCATAAAGTGTTCCCGGGTTATTCCATCAAGGCTTTCGACTACGAGAAGTCTTACACCTTGCAGAGACCCAATGACCATGATTTCACGCACGAACCGTGGTCTGGATTCAGCGTCCAAATTAGTTTTGTAAAAGGCTGGGGCCAATGCTACACGAGACAATTCATAACCAGCTGCCCTTGCTGGCTGGAGGTGTTCCTCAATAACCGATAAGAGTGGTGTTATTAAAGGACTCGGATTCAACAGAGGCGCTTTCAATGAAAAGTAATGAGATTTAATAAGAGAAAAAGTGTATTTTATGTTATATATAAATATATTATATTACTTGTAAATATGAAGACGTTTTATAGCATTATTTATGTATTGTGCAATGTGTAAACCAGACAAAATAAAGATGCACTTTGCTTAATATAAATGCAAATAAGATGAAAAAAACGCCAAAATTTAAATAACACAAAATTGGTGTTCTTATGGGTGCTGAAACCAAGAAGAATGTGTTTTTTTTAAATAGAGGAGTTTTATGTTCAAGTGGAAAAATAAAATTGTACACCTGATTTAAAAAAAATGCTTTGTGTGTCTTTTTAGAGGTGAAGCAATGTGAGCAGAAGACTTATCTTTGAGTTCCCTTGTCAACAGATTTACAATTTCATTATTCAGAGCACAAAGGAAAATTCCCCCTCTGGTGTCAATTAAACTCATTTGTGACCTTTTGAAGGTCAGTAAATTTACCAAGAATGTGATGAGTGAGAGACTGATTTGGGTTACAGCACATGTTTGAAATATTATTTGGTTTAGTGAAATCTCTCTTCTATCCTTCACCCAAAAGGCACAGACAAGGTTAGTGGCTGTTCATCAAATGTTCTTTCTCACCACCTCTTTTGAAACCACTGGTCCAAGCAGGACACAATTCCTTTTTGTTGATAGGCTTTCAATACTTCCAACCAAGTGTCACTTCTCATGTGTCACCATAAACAGAAGGAATAATGTTTGTATTTGACCAAATGACTGACAGAGGCATAATAACTCCAGTTGTCAGCCCAAACCTCCATAAGTGATTTCTATCAAGGGCGACTGGACAAGGAATCATGAACAAGCAGTCTAATTAATTTATCCTTTCCTATCTGAGATTGACTTCAGATGCTGCTCCTGCAGATTTCACTTCGGTCATATTATTTCCCTGGTCTGTGTGATTTAGTACTGTACTAGTAACGTATCAGATGGCGTCTTTATCCATTGAACTATCAGGGCAACACTAATGTTAGTCTTTTAATAGGGAGGTGCACAGAACAATTCCACTTATCTAATTTCTCTAATCTCTGCATGGCATATTTATATCTTTTGCATCTCCAATTGCAACTTTCTTCTTTGATACTGAACTTGCTGTAGGAAAGAATTCACACGGTGGACAACACAACTGACCCGTTTTGTTATGGCCATGCTTTACTGCATGTTGCAGTGTCCCCCTGAAATAAATTGAGATATTCAAATACAATTTCAAAGTTTAGGGAGAGAGATAGCTTCCAGGATTGAGGAGATATTTCGATTAAGTCTAATTACAACAGAGTTAAAAGTGCAACTGATGTCCCAGATTCAAATATGTGCCATTGTGTTTGCTGACCCAAAGCAGAATGAATATTGACATAAGGTAGATTCATCCTAATGAATTGAGAGGAAATAATTGATCCCAAACTGGATCACTTTGCAATGTCACCTAGGGAACAGTTAGCAAGGACAGAATAGGAATTGATTGTGATAGCAAAGTGTGGAGCTGGAGGAACACATCATCAGAGGAGCAGGAAAGTTGACGTTTCAGGTCAGGATCCTTCTTCAGAAAAAAAACGTTCCTGTTTCTCTGATGCTGCCTGGCGTACTGTGTTGCTCCAGCTCCACACTGTGTTATCTCTGACTCCAGCATCGGCAGTTCTTACTATCTCTGTCGGAATTGATTGTGATGTCCCTGTTATTCTCAGGATTTGGTGCACGTTCTCAAGGTTCACCCTTGGATATTTGCCTGTTGCATGATATAGGGGAGAGTCTTCACCTGTTTGATACGAAAGCCAGGAAAGGATTCCAACGTATTCAGAGGAAAAGAGAGAGAGAAACTGGGAAAAAAGTAGATGGGATTAAAACTGTGGATGAATTCTCTTGATTTAGTTTGGATTCCTCAACTCAAGCAGGTCATTTAGTAATTGCCCCAGAGCACTGCTGAAAGCATCCTGCCTAACATACCCTGAGGGCCTTGTCATGATCTGAAAGGAATGTGAAATCCGCAGGATAGAAAATGCTGATGCAACTTTGAGTTAAGTGTAAATGTATTTGACCAAGACTTATTTAGAGCTGTTCTTAATTAGACTTAGAAATTCATCCAGTTTGCTTTTCAGGTTTTCCAAAGCTTATTAGGATATAACCATGGTTACGAGGCCTACATGGTGATTAAGCCAAATGCAGCCTTCAGTGATTACATTATTTTTCCTGCACGTAATCCAATACTGTAGCAATAATGTTTTAATTTTACTTCAGAAAAGTGGGATTGAACTCACTGTTGTTCAGCATTTATACGTGGAAGTCACAGCAATTTTATTTTCTCCAGAAAAATGAGGTTACATACCACCAAATAACACACAAGCAAAGGTGGAAAAAAGTTTAAAAATGAATGAAAATATTTGAAGGATGGGTGGTACATCAGTTTGGGGTAAAGTTTTTTGAACACTCTCCAAATTAGCTGGTTAAAAGTCCACTCAATTTATGTAAATGACCTAAATGAATTGTGCTTTTCCCTCATTCATTTCTTGTTATTAACTTTATTTTTCTTTCGATTTATTTTTAAATGCTCTTCATCTGTGATATCTATAAGCTCTGACGATGAATTTATATATATCTGAACTATCCAACTGGTTGGCATTTTCTTGATAAATGATGCTTGACCTACCGGGGCAACTCTTCTTTCTTAAGTGTTGTATTTATGTCTTTTAGCCGTCCAGTCCTGGCAGAGTGTGCTGCATAAATAGTGCACTCTGCACAACTGGAGCAGGCAAATGGGGGGATGTGATTTTTTCTGAACTGCTGAGAGAGCAGCAGCAGTCTTCTGAAGATGAAGATGAGGACATTGAACAGGAAGAACATCACTTTTAACATGACTTGGTGCTGCAATGTCAGTTGCTACAGGTCAGACAAGATTCAATTGACACCAAGTTCCAGCAGATATGAGCTGTGTGCAGTGATCATTCGTTGACTGTAAATTTGTTGCTACTCAATAACCAGGCAGTTCTAGAAGCAAATGCAGCTTCCATTTGTTTTTGTCTTTGCTTTTGCTACTGCAGAATGAAAGTGAATGTGTTCAACCAATAGAAGGTTTTCCAGTACATGATAGTCCTACATTGAACAATAAGTAGATGTTAGACCACACTGCTCATTGGGCAAAGAATAACACTTGCTGAAAACATAGAAAGTGGGGGTAGACCATTCAGCCCTTTGAACCTGCTCCACCATTCAATATGAATGTGGCTGAGCTTCTATCTCAATACCATGTTCTTACTTTCTTCCAGTGCTCCTTGATACCTTTAAAATCTAAAAATATATTGAATATATTCAGTGACTTAGCTTCCACAACCTTCTGTGACAGAGAATTCCATGGTTTCCTTTGAGTGAAGAAGTATTTCCTCATCACAGTCCTAAATGCTCTACTCACTATTCTGAATCTGTGTCCCTGCTTTCAGACCCCTCAACCAGGGAAAACATCTTCTTTGCATCTAGTCTGTCCGGCTCTCATAGAAGTTTATGTTTCAGTCAGATCCCCTCTCGTGATTCTAAACTATGCAAGGTACATGTCAGGAATGGGATAGAAATACTTCCATCTCCCTGATTAAGTGCACTCAATTAACTTGATACCATCTAAGACACTGATGCTCACGATCAGCAGTGCAGCCACAAACTTGAACATTCATTGCCTCCATCACCACTGCACATTGGCAGCAGTGTGCATTATCTACAAGATGGCCTGCAGCAACTCACCATGCCTCCTTCAAAAGCACTTTCCAAATTCAATGCTCCCCTCCAACTCTAAGCCACACATTATCCTGATTTGGAATCAAAAAGGAAATTAACATAGCGAGCGTTGGTCATTTGGGAAGTTACGCTGGGGAATTGATAGCAGAAAATATGGATAAATGACTAGAACAGATATTTTGTATGGATCCACCCAATAGAGGATTCAAGTAAATCGTAGAAATTGCTGTTTATTAGGAAATGAATGGCAGGGAAAAATTTAACAAAATTATCATTGCCAGTGCTGAGTACTGAAGAAGGGTCTAGGCCCAAAACGTCAGCCTTCCTGCTCCTGTGATGTTGCTTGGCCTGCTGTGTTCAGCCAGCTCTACACCTTGTTATCTCAGATTCTCCAGCACCTGCAGTTCCTACTATCTCTGATAATAATCTGAGTTCTGATGCACTTCATTCCAGGGTCTTCAAAGAAATGACGAGTGAAATAGTTAAAGCATTAGTTTTAATTTCTCCAAATTCCCTATATTCAGGGAAGGTCCCATTAGATTTGAAAATAGCAAATGTAATGCTATCATAGAACGCAGGAAGATGGGATGACACTAAGGATGGGTAACCTTGGTCCTTTTATAGCAATGGATTAATCAATATGCACTTGTATTTGCAATTAAGTGTCAGCTATGCCACCTAGGTGCCCTGTGTAGTGATTCTTTTTGGTTTCCCTTCCATTATGTGCACAGTGAGGGGCAGCCTCTGGCTGGTGTTGCCTGACTGGGTGCTCTGCTGGGTTTTAAACACAGTGCCAGTGATGGGAATCCTGACAGGGATGAGTATTTTTGCTTCTGATTAGAGGGAGGGGAGGACAAACAGGGCACCATGCGAGACAATGTACATGGCAATAGAGGCAAGATTCAGAAAGATGGTGACAAGGTATATTGCTCCATTCGGACCTCCACTCTGCTGGCCAGTTCCCTTTCCTTTTCCTTTCTTTTTTCTTTTCCTTCTCTCTCCTGTCTCCTCTCTGTGGTAATTATATACCCACCCTCACACCCTGCCCTGTTAACTACCTACCTAAGGAGTTGAGAAGGAGTTAGGTCATGGCCGGTGACCGCCTGGCAGGAGCTGAACACGCGGACCATGTCCTGCAGTGACAGGGGATCGAGTGTGGGCCAGAGTAATGCCAGCTCTGGAAGTGGGGCTGGAGAGGGGGGTGGCGGTGAGGGTGGGGCCGGTGAGGGGGCAGCAGTCGGTGGTGAGAACGGGCCTGTGAGGGGGCAG